CCTGAGTCAATTATTGATGCTCCTGGGGCCAAAAGCAAAAGGCCTTCTGTCATTGTTTGTCATGGCTCGAAGGAATATGGGACCTAGGACATCTCGGAAAGCATCATCAGCATCATCAGCATCATCAGCATCAGCATCAGCATCAGCATCAGCATCAGCATCATCATCATCATCATCATCATCATCATCATCATCAGCATCCTCAGCATTATCATCATCAGCATCATCAGCAGCATCAGCATCATCATCATATTCAGAATCAGCATCACCATCATCATCATCAGCAGCAGCATCATAATCATCATCAGCAGCAGCATCAGCATCGCGGGGACAGCGAGCGATCACAACCACATCGAGGAAACACTCCAGGGGAAGTCTTGCGCATTCCCAAAACTGTCGGAACAATGAAACCAGCTTGATACTGGTGATGGTCGATGTGGCGTCCGGGGACGGCCAAATCAACCACAGCCACAACCAAAGTGCTCATGTCGCGGTCGGTGGCTGCTCCCCCGAGGGGTCCTCCCAAAAGATCCACTCATTTGTGTTTGTGGTTCTTTGTTGTACAATCGGACCTAGGCCAGAAGAGCATCCCTCAAGAGCATGAGACCATCCATCGGCCAAACGAACGGAGTATCCAAGAGTACCCTCCACAGAGTACCCCTCTTGTCCACAGGTGAACGGGGTGGGAGGCGGGAGGTGAGGAGGGGTTGAGGAAGACGGAGGAGGAGGAGGAGGAGGAGGAGGAGGAGAAGGAGGAGGAGGAGGAGGAGCAGGAAGACAACGAGGAGGACGAGGAGGAGGAGGAGAGGAAAGGAGGGGAGTATCCAAACGATCGAACGAATGTCCAACAAACACGAAGAACACCAAGGTACCCTCCCCGAACCGACGTCGACCTTATACATCGGCCCGCCTGTGCCCGGATCGCGCCCCAAGAGGGAGAGAGGCGAGAAGGGCCCGCCCTCCTCCAGGGTTAGCGGGGCTTCACCGGAGCTGTCCCGCCATCCGAGAGGCCCTCTCTGGACGCACTCTCTCCGAGGCCGCAGAGGACGGGCCAGTTTTCCACTACCACCACTGACATGGGTAGAATGGGGAGAAGATAGGATGGGGAGCGTCTCCTCCTCCTCCTCCTCCTCCTCCTCCTCCTCCTCCTCCTCCTCCCTCTCCGCCCTATGGTAGTAGTGGTGGTGGCGGAAAATCGGCTCATCAACAGAGGGCTTCTGCGAAGACGGGAGGGTTCGTGAGAAGCTCCGCCGCCTTCTGAGAAGGCCGGGCCCCCTGTGCCTTCTTCCCCCAAACCGCGCCGAACGAAGGAAGGAATGAAGGAAGGAACGAACGAACACCACCCCAGACAAGCGTCTGGGCCTGGCTTCCCCCACGAGGACGAGTCCGTGGACACTGGACTACGTTGAGGCATGCAACAGCGAAGGAGTCGCTCAAAAAGAGAACGGCTTCTGGGCCTTGGCGCAGGTCAGGGGGGATGTGCAATGGGTGAATGCGGCAGCAAATCTTGCTACGACAAGTCCAAAGGCACGGGTGTGTCGACCCAAGCCAGGGATCAACAACTTCCCAGGACGCCAGTACAGGGCCAACACCGTCCAATACACGAGCATAATCCTTCTTCTCCTCCTCCTCCTCCTCCTCCTCCTCCTCCTCCACCTCCTCCTCCTCCTCCTCCTTCTCTTTCTCCCCTTCCTCCTTCTACTCATGACACGTCCGTGGGTTCTCCGAAGTCGGGGCCCTCCCCGCTAATGCAGCACTGCACGTCGTGCATCCCATGAAAATTCGCCCCTGAACTCAACAGTGAATCCGTTCTCCCCCTCCTCCAACTCCTCCTCCTCCGTCTCCGCCTCCGCCTCCTCCTCCTCAGCATCATCATCATCATCATCATCATCATCATCATCATCATCATCATCATCATCATCATCATCATCATCATCATCATCATCATCAGCATCAGCATCATCATCATCATCATCATCATCATCATCAGCATCAGCATCAGCTCAGCTCAGCATCAGCATCAGCATCAGCACATCGCACAGCATCAGCATCAGCATCAGCATCAGCATCAGCATCAGCATCATCATCATCATCATCATCAGCATCATCAGTCATCAGCATCATCAGCATCATTCTCTCATCATCAATCACATCACCATCATCACCATCATCACCATCATCATCATCATCATCATCATCATCATCATCATCAATCACATCATCACCCATCATCGTATCATCGTCATCATCCGGATCATCATCCATACATCACATCATCATCATCATCCATCATCATCATCATCAATCATCAATCAGCAATCATCATCATCATCATCATCATCATCATCGTCATCGCATCGTCATCGTCATCATCGTCATCGTCATCATCATCATCATCATCATCATCATCGTCCATCATCATCATCATCATCATCATCATCATCATCATCATCTCCACCACCAATCATCATCATCATCATCATCATCAGCACCACCACCATCATCATCATCATCATCATCATATCATCATCACCATCATCATCATCATCATCATCATCAGCATCAGCATCATCATCATCATCATCATCAGCATCATCATATCTCATCAGCATCATCATCATCATCATCAACATCACCATCATCATCATCATCACCATCACCATCAGCATCATCATAATCATCATCAGCATCATCATCATATCATCATCACAGCATCATCAGCATCACCGCAATCATCATCATCGTCATCATCATCGTCATCATCATCAGCATCCTCACCATCCTCACCATCATCACTTCATCATCAGCATCATCAATGTTGTCATCATCAACAGCAGCATCATCAGCATCATCATCAGCATCAACAGCAGCATCGCATCATCAGCATCATCATCATCATCGTCATCATCATCGTCATCATCATCAGCATCCTCACCATCCTCACCATCATCACTTCATCATCAGCATCATCAATGTTGTCATCATCAACAGCAGCATCATCAGCATCAGCATCAGCATCAACAGCAGCAGCATCAGCATCATCATCAGCATCATCAGCATCAGCAACATCATCATGAACGTCGTCGTCGTCGGTATCACCATCACCACCACCACCACCATCGTCATCAGCATCACCATCATCCTCATCGGCATCATCAGAATCATCAACAGCACCATCATCATGACCATCATCATCAGCAGCAGCATCAGCAGCATCAAATCAATCATCCTGAAAATCGTCACCATCATTATCACCAGCGACGACACGACTGCTCTTATCACCAAGAACAACACTAGAAGCTCCGACTTCACCATCGTCATCATCATCGTCGTCGTCGCTGTCATCGCTGCTGGCGCTCTCGTCATCATCAGCAGCATCCTCCTCCTGCTCCTCCTCCGCCTCCTACTCCTCATCATCAGCCTCCTCCTCAACATCAGCATCGTAATCATGATCATCACCATCATCATCATCATCATCATCATCATCATCATCATTATCATCACCAGCACCTTATCAGCAGCAGCATCATCAGCATCATCATCATCAGCAGCATCATCGGCATCATCAGTATCACCATCTTTCAGCATCAACAGCATCAGCATCAGCATCAGCATCAGCATCAGCAGCATCAGCAGCATCATCAGCATCATCATCATCACAAGTATCATCATATTCTTAACAAGCATCATCATCAGCATCAGCAACAGCGAAGCCAGTCTCCCCAACATCACCAGCAGTATATCAGCATCCGCAACGACAGCATCATCATCATCATCATCATCAGCATTATCCTCATAATCAGCATCATCATCAACATCGACATCAACAGCATCAACAACATCATCAGAATCGTTGCCATCGTCAGCATCCGCATCATCGTCATTATCGTCATTATCATCACCACCATCAGACTCGCCATTACCATCGTCGTCATCATCATCAGCAGCATCATCATCAGCAGCAGTAGAATCATCAACATCAGCAGCATCAACATCATCATGAACATCGACATCATAACCAACATCATCATCGGCAACATCACCGTAAACGTCACCATCATCCGCATCATCAACATCGTACCTGCACTCGTTGTCAGACTCGTGATCTAATTTCTCACCACGCTGGAACTCATACTCAGCACCCTCATCATCAGCAGCGGCAGCATCAGCAGCAGCAGATCAGCATCATCAGCGTTAGCGTCAGTATCAGCACCATCATCATCAACAACACCAACACCATCATACGGAGCGGTTGATGTCTTTAGACGCCTTCGCCGTGCTTTGGTGCCATGCGCCGCAGGCCGTCGCGAACGAAAAAAAAATCAACACCAATGTCCCCATCCAGACCCCTCCTCATCCCTGCTAACTCCTCCTCCCCCCCTCCCTCCTTCTCTTCTCTCCTCTAGCCCCCCCCTCCCTCCTCCCCCTCCTTCTCTTCATCATCTTCCTCCTCCACTGCGGTCTCCCGGCAGCTCCGGAGAGGAGGACGATCATGCCCCGCTCGTCCAGCCGCAGGTCCAGGAAGGCTCGCATTGGGATGCATCTGACTAGCTTTGGGAGGGATCGAAAACTGTCTCCCTCCATGCGCCTTCAATGTCGTCGAGTCATGGTCGCCAGTGGTCCTCCTCTTCCTCCTCCTCCTTCTCCTCCAACAAGTCCTGCTCCTCCTCCTCCCCCTCCTCCTTCTCCTCCTCCTCCTCCTCCTCCTCCTCCTCCTCCTCCTCCTCCTCTTCCTCTCTCCACCTCATCGCGCCACGCGGGTCCCCTTGCCGCGGGCGCTCTGTGGTCAAGAGCTTGCGCAGTCCACCCCCCCACCCCAGGCACGACCCAGCGCGCAGCGGCGGCCGCCCCCGGGCGAGGAGGGGGTGCGCCGGCCAGGCCCTGTACGCGGCATACCCGGGACCAGCACGGCGAAGTCGGCAGTGGGGAGCGGCTCCCGGTCCGGCGCCGCGCCAGACGCCCTCCCTCCCTCCCGCCCCCCTCGGCGGAAAGGCGGGCGCCTGCCCCTGCCCGACAAACGCCATGAAGCTCGACACCTCCGAGTACGACGTGCCCCTGCGGGCCCTGGGCTGCGGCGCGGCGGCGTGCAGCAGGGGCAGGGTCGGCTCCCGTCCTGCGGCGCGGGGGCGGGCGGTCGTCAGGTTCGGGGAGAAGGAGGAAGAGAAGGAGCAGGAGGAGGAGGAGAAGGAGGAGGAGGAGGAGGAGGAGGAGCTCCAGGAAGAGGAGAGGAGGAATCAGGAGGAGGAGGAGGAGGGGGAGGAGGAGGAGGGAGAGCGAAAGATGAGGAAGGGGTTCCCAGGCACCCAACGTTGGCAGGGACGGCAGGAGCGGGGCCACTGGTCGTCGAGGAGACACTCGAGCCCCAAGGCCACAGGCCCAGTCGAAGCTCGGACGGGGCTCGCTCTGCTGCGCATCGGCTAGGCCAAGTCCAAGGGCCTAGCGACCGGCCCCACTACCGAGGAGGCCATCGATGAAGGGACCTAGAGACACAAATGAATACACACGAATCCCAGGATTCCATAGTCTCTCATATTTGTCGGATGTTCGTCTTCCCCTCCACTTCCCATATTTTCCCATATGTTCTAGGACATCGACGGTCCATTGTGTCGGTATGTGTCTTCCCCCTCCTGAATCTACGAGGACATGCGGCACGCCGCCCTCGGGGATCGCGCCGACCAGGGCGGGAACGGCCCCCCGCACGCTGCAAAAGGCAGCGTCCTCGCCGTCATCGGCGTCGCCAACTTCGGTGGCAGTTACCGTGGCCCTCATCGTGACCAGCGCCGTCGTCGCAACCGCCACTGGAATTGCCGTCGCCATCACCCCCACGGCGACCTCATACACAGAACTATCCGCATGGTCATCCACACCACCATCATCCTCATCATCCCATTCACGGGTACCATCGTCACCATCATCACTATCACGACCACCACGACGTCGTCGCCATCATCAATACCATCATTGACACCATCATCCCCGGATATTCATCATCCTCATCGCCAACAGCATCATCATCATCATAAGCATCATCATCATCACCATTATCATCATCAGCATCATCATCATCATCATCATCATCAGCATCATCATCATCGTCATCATCATCATCATCATCATAATCATCATCATCATCATCATCATCATCATCATCATCATCAGCATCAGCATCATCATCATCATCATCATCATCATCGTCATCATCGTCATCGTCATCGCATCAGCATCAGCATCAGCATCAGCATCAGCATCAGCATCAGCATCAGCATCAGCATCAGCATCAGCATCAGCATCAGCATCATCATCATCATCATCATCATCATCATCATCAGCGTCATGATCATGATCATCAGCATCATCATCGTCATCATCCTCATCCTCATCCGCACCCGCATCCTCTTCACCATCCTCATCATCATTCTCATCATCGTCCTCCTCCTCATCATCATCCTCATCATCCTCAACTTCATCAGCATCATCAGCATCGTCATCAGCATCATCAGTATCAGCATCATCATCCTCATCATCGTCATCAGCATCATCAGCATCATCATCCTTATCATCACCACCATCATCAGCATCACCAGCATCATCACCACCACCACCCACAACCACCACCACCACCACCACCACCATCATCATGATCATGATCATCATCATCATCATCATCATCATCATCATCATCATCATCATCATCATCATCTGCATCATCATCATCATCATCATCAGCAGCATTATCATCATCAGCCTTAGCATCAGCGTCAGCCTCAGCATCATCATCATCGTCAGCGTCATCGTCATCATCAGCATCATCAGCAGCATCAGCATCATCAGCAGCAGCATCATCATCAGCATCAGCATCAGCATCAGCATCAGCATCAGCCCTCTTCTGGACACTCTGACGACCTCATCCTCCTCATCCTCCCCCTCTCTGCCCCTACCCTCCTCCCACCACCCCTAGGTCCTCCTGCCCTCACTCTCGCATCCCCCTCTGCCCGCCTCCTCCCACCCTGCCCCCCCCCCGGTGGGCGAGGAAGAGACACGAGACAGAGATGCTGCAGGAGAAGCCCTGCCGATGCGACGCGAGGCCGTGCGCGACGCGGATCTGCCTGCCCCCTGCCGTGGCTCGTGGGGGATGAGGGGGCTGCATCTGGCGCAAGCTGCGCATCGGCCCAGACTCAGGTCGGGCATGTCCAATGTTGTGACCACTTCTGGATCTTTCTCCTGTAGAGGGACAGGCCCGACTTAAGCCCAGACACCCGACGCCGTGCCTAGAAGAAGAAGAAGAAGAAGAAACAGAAACGCCATAAAGATACACTGTTGGCGCTCCGCGCGGATTTCTGCGCCAATGAGGGGGGGGGGGCCCAGCGCGGATCCAGGGGATCCGCGCGGAGCGCCAAAAGTTTTATGTTGAAGGCTCGCCCCCCGAGAGGCCCGAGCCCCCGGAGAGGTTTGTGTGTGTGGCGTGCTCTCTTCTTCGAGTGCCCTCTCCCCACCTCGCCCCCCGAGAGGCCCGAGCCCCCCCTCCCGGAGAGGCCCGCCTCCCCGCGCCGAGCCGCACTGGCCGCGGCGCCCCCCCCCTCCCGGGCCGGGGTGCGGGCCGCCCGAGGGCCGAGGCGCTCGGCGACAGCAGGGAAATTCGAGCGCGTGAGAACGAAGGGGCCCCAGGACACACAGATAAATGAACACAAATAAAAACAGTTTCCCCGCAGTTTCCCATATTTTCCCATCCTTTTGGGGTTTCTGTCTTCCCCTCCACTTCCCATATCTTCCCATCTCTTCCTGGGAATCGACGATGAATTGTGTCTGTGTGTGTTTTCCCCTCCTGAGAAAAACGACCCCCGGCACCCCGCGTGAAGAGCTTCACACTGCACAGCCGTGACAAAAATTTCTTCAACTTGCTATGATGAAGATCTCTCCCGTCCCTCTGAAGATTCCGAACATGACATGATGCTGGGATCATTCGGCGGAGTAGTGTCCGGTCCCGGAGACGTTAACAACTCTCTTACCCAAAAACGGGATCGGAAACTACTCCGCGCCCAACCATATAAATTGTCGAGCGGGATGCGATTGCGCGCGGAGTAGTTTTAGTAAAACTACTCCGAACTACTCCGCACGAGCGCGTCATTCAAAAAGGCAAATTTAAAAACACTGTCGTGACGGCGATGTAATGAGACCGTCAAACGACGCGTGAACTGCAAGCGGAAACAGCTCGACGGTCAGCCAACGACAACGCCGCGCAGTTCGGTGCGAGCGGCGCGTTGCCGTTGTGCTCCCTGCTACGGAGAAGGGGCCGGCTGGTAAGTAAATTACCAGCCGGCCCCTTCTCCGCGACGCGAGGGGTCTGGATTTAGGTTGGGCATGTCCTCCTACAGGCGGATCTTCGAAAAAAACAGATAGTCAAAAACAGTCAAGAAGAGTAGACCAATCGTCCCCAGACTATTGTTGGACTATCTTTGAATATTCCTCCTGTTGAGGGACTTGCCCGACTTGAGTCTGCATTCGGGTGTCTGGCGGCCGGTCGAAGCGATCTGGGCACCCCTGGAGCGCTCTGGGCGAGGCTCGCGGCTGCAGGAGGGCAGCCCGAGGCCGGAAACCTCCAAGGGCCAACGCAGACGGCCGAGAGTCTCGGCCGAGGTCGGGGTCAGAAAGGCGGGGGACGACGAGAGATTCACGCCGCGAGGAGGTCGGGGAAGTGTCGGCGACGAGCGAGGGGGGGAAGTGAGAGGGAGAAGGCCTTCTCAGAAGGCGGCGGGACTGTCTTCGGGGGAGGCTTAGAAAACTTCGCAGGAGGCCGGGGGCCTTCCGAGGCCTCTGAGAAGGCTGGAGGCTTGAAAATGGACACCGACACCAAAACAGGGGGCTGCGTTCACCCGGGGAGGATGATCCTAGATTCCGGCGTCGGTGGCACTCGTTCGGCCACCTAGGAAGCCCAAATATTACCATCCTCACCGAGATTGGGAGAAGCTTCCCTCATAATAATGATGATAATGATAATAATGATAATAATGATAATAATAATAATAATAAGAATAATAATAATAATAATAATAATAATAATACAAAACATGATTAATAATTATAATAATAGCAGTAATAATAAAAGTATTCATCTGTAACCCCATGCCCACGATAATAATGTACCCCCCCCCTTCAGTAGTTAGAGTTGATTATCGTCGACCAATAAGAGTTTGGTCGGGGGCGCGGGGGCGCGGAGGCCGAACTTCATTATCACGGGAAAAGTCCGCCATCGAGGTTACTTCCTTCTTATGTTGAGATAACAACATCAAGCAAAGCGAACACGTTGTTTCAGGATGTCTCAAGCGAAACCAATGTCCTTCTGTCTCTTTGTAGTTCTTTATGTCTCTCTTTATTTCTTTATCTGTCTCTCTCTCTCTCTGTCTCTCTATCTCTTTCTCCTCCTCCTCCCTCTGGCGCCCTGAACTTGTTTATCGCTGGGGTTGTTTATCATGGGAAAACGAGGCACGTGAGCTACCCTACACGAGCAGATGAAACTTATAATATTCATCAAGCGTTTACAAATTAAATATAATAAGTTTTAAACTTTGGATGTTTGCTATATCCTTCTCCTCTCCTCCTCTTGCTCTTTCTCCTCCTCCTCCCTCAAGGATGTCTCAAGCGAAACCGATGTCCTTCTGTCTCTTTGTAGTTCTTTCCGTCTCTCTTTCTTTCTTTCTCTGTCTCTCTTTCTCTCTCTGTCTCTCTATCTCTTTCTCCTCCTCCCCCTGGCGCCCTGAACTTGTTTATCGCTGGGGTTGCTTATCCTGGGAAAACGAGGCACGTGAGCTACCCTACACGAGCAGATGAAAATTATAATTTTCATCAAGCGTTTACACATTAAATATAATAAGTTTTAAACTTTGGATGTTTGCTATCTCCTTCTCCTCTCCTCCTCTTGCTCTTTCTCCTCCTCCTCCCTCAAGGATGTCTCAAGCGAAATATGCAATAATTTGAAGATGTCTCAAGCGAAACAGACAAACATTTCGAGGATGTCTCAAGCGAAACAAGCCATTCGTTGAGGATGTCTCAACCGAGACAATCCTCAAGATATCTTTGGCTTTTTCCTCTTGATATATCTTTATGCTGGCTCTGGCGGGCAACTTTTATTATCTCCCCGAAAACCCCGAACTTTACTATCCCTGGGGGGCTATTCTCGTGGGTTCAGGGTTACACTCTTTAACACATATATAGTGTATACAGAGAACAAGAAGCTGCATAAACAGAAACTTCTGGCGCTCCGCGCGGACTTCTTGCATCTGCACTGGACCCCTCCCCCCGTCCCTGGCGCGCGGAGCGCATCGGGGGCGGCGCCGGAGGCGCCGCCAGGGGGGAACCCACGCGAAGCGCCACGAGTGTATGTTTGTTTATGCCGATGTTTTCTCTTTCGAGTGATGGGCCGACTTTCCACCATCACTAAAATATGTAGGACGGGGGAGAGGGGAGGATGAGTCGATGAGGAGGTCCTCCTCCTCCCTCCTCCTCCTCCTCCTCCTCCTGCTCCTCCTGCTCCTCCTCCTCCTCCTCCTCCTCCTCCTCCTCCTCCTCCTCCTCCTCCTCCTGCTCCTCCTCCTCCCTCTCCTGCCTGTGGCAGCGGTGGTGGAAGATGGGCCCATCACCGAGAAACTGCACTCCCCCCCCCCCCTGCGCTGGCCGCCGACCGTGGGGGGGCCCCGCCCCGCGCGCCTAGGACGCCCGCGTTGTGCGGCATGGGCGCCACGGCGGCCAGCGGCGGCGGCCCCCTGACGTCGGGGGCGGCGGCGGCGCCTGGGGAGCGCCAGGCAAGCACGCAGAGCGGGCCCGCGTCGGAAGGATCCCAGACCCCCTCGAGCCATGGAAAAATCACGGCAGCAAGTTTTTCCCCATTTTCGGCCTCCGGGGGCCCTTACCGGGGGATCCGGACCGTCACAAAGCGACTGGGGATGAAAAACCGGTCCCGGGGAATGGGTCCGGACCTCTGGGGGTCGCGTCATGAAAAAATCATGACGTCGGAGGGTCTGGGATGCGGCGGTAAGGATGCGAGGGCCTTGGACACCCCTTTCGAAGCTTTTCGAGCGGCGCGCGGCCAACGAAAGTCGGAAAGTGGCCAAGGCTGGACCGAGGAGGCAAGGATGCCAGGGTACCCTTGGGGAGGATGCATGGGCGCGGTGAGGATGCGAGGGCCTCGGGCGCCCCTTTCGAAGCCTTTCGACCGGGCGCGGCCAACGAAAGTGGCCAAGGATGCGCGGTGAGGATGCGCGGTCAACCCGTCTCGTCAGGATGCACGGTAAGGCTGCAAGGGCCTCGGAGGCCCATGTGAACGTTTTCCGAACGAGGTTTGCCGGCGAAAGTCGCTAAGAATGGGCCGAAGGGGCAAGGATGCGCGATAAGGACGCACGATAAGGATGCAAGGGCCTTGGAGGCTCATTTCGAGACTTTTCGAGCGGGGCGCGGCCAACGCAAGTGGCCAAAGATGGACCAAGGAGGCAAGGATCTTGGAGGCCCATGTTCACGTTTTTCGAACGAGGTTGGCCAGCGAAACTCGCTAAGGATGGGCCAAAGGGGCAAGGACGCCCAATTCGAAGCTTTTCGAGCGGGGCGCGGCCGACGAAAGTGGCGAAGGATGGACTGAGGAGGCAAGGATGCAAGGGTACCCTTGGGAAAGATGCTAGGGCGCTGCAAGGATGCAAGGGCCCTGGAGGGTTGACTGTACCAAAGGCGCCCCAAATGAGCGACGAGAAGTCACGGGTCTTGCGCTCGGCGGCGAGCGAGGGGGGGGAAGTGAGAAGGAGGATGGGGTTGGATGATCACGCCGCATCGACGATGCGTCGGCGAAGCATTGGCGACACACAGGCGATGCACCAGCGACGTCGGCGATGCATCGACGACGGCCGCGTGAAGAAAGTCGGGCTCCGAATCGAGCCGCCTCGGCGATGCGCCGCGATCCTCCGAGCCCATTTACTCCGACCCAAAATTAGCCTGACGAAAGACCCAACCATATGCAATTGTAGGCACCGTCGCTGTATGCACCGCCTTCGGTGGAGTTCCCATATGGGGCCACGAAGCGTGTGAGAAGTATGCCAAAATAGGTGCGGTGGGCACGTGCGAGCGCTGGTATTTGGACCTTCGGTGGAGCTCCGTATGGGGCCACGAAACGTGTGAGGGTGTGCCAAAATGGGCGCGGTGGGCGCATGCAAGCGCTGGCATATGAGCCTTCGGTGGAGCTCCCTACGGGGCCACGGAACGTGTGAGGGGTGTGCCAGAATGGGTGCGGCGGGCACATGCGAGCGCTGGTATTTGGGCCTTCGGTGGAGCTCCTATATGGGGCCACGAAACGTGTGAGAAGTGTGCCAACATGGGTGCGGTGGGCACATGCGAGCGCTGGTATTTGGACCTTCGGTTGGGCTCCCTATGGGGCCTCGAAACGTGTGAGGGGTTTGCCAAAATGGGCGCGGTGGCCGCATGCGAGCGCTAGCAGTTGGGCCTTCGGTGGCACTCTCTATGGGGCCAGGAAACGTCTGAGGGGTGGGCCAAAGTTAGGGGGATGACGGGAGGAGGGAGGAGGGGGAGAAGGAAAAGGAGGAGAGGAGAGGAGAGGAGAGGAGGCGGGACGCGGGGCGCTGTCTCTTCAAAACGAGGACCCAACACCACAGGATGGTTGGGAAAACTCTTCCTTATTCGGGGAAGAGGAGGAGGAAGAGGAGGAAGGAAGGAAGGAAGGAAGGAAAGAAGGAGGAAGGAGGAAGGAAGGAGGAAGGAAGGAGCGCGGGGACTGTCTCTTCAAAACGAAGATCAAATTAAAGGTTGGTTAGGAAAAACGTCGGCACATCCGAGCTCCGTCGCACTCGAGGTTTGTGTTCCGACAGAAGAAAAGCTGGTACCGCTACGCCGCCGGTCTCCTCCAAGCTGCGCTCTGATCGCGATTCCGAGGCAAATCCGGCCGCGGCGGCGAGGGGCCCCTGGGAGGCCCAGAGAAGCGAGAGGCCCAAAGCCCGGCGGCGCGAGTTTGTTCCCCGCGTGAGCCCTGACACTCTCGATCGAACCCTCTCCTGGGACAAGATGACTGCATCATCCCCGGGCGTCCTTTGACGGGCCCGCGAAGCCCAAGAGTTGCCAAAGAGTATTCGGCCGTGCTCTCTCACGACGGAAACTACAGCGAAAATGCTTCGTAAGGAAGGGTGGTAGGGACGCAAGACCCTTGGAGACCGAGGTTGGGACTTTTTGGCGGCGGGCAGCCAAAACACCATGTGAAAATGGCAAAGGACGGGCCGCAGAAGCAAGGACACAAGGGTACCCTAGAACAGGCGCGCGTCCATACAATGCGCGTTGACTCTAGTCCTGGGCAGGGCTCGAGCGAAACAGTGTTTTGCATGCTCGCTGTATTTGCGTGTTCCTTGTTCTGTCCTCGTTCCGTTCCGCCTTCGCTGCAAAACGGCATCAAAACGAACACGGCCCACGACATCGCCACAACGGCCTCGGGAACGAGGGGTGGACATCGGCATCGATACGTTCCCGGACCTCCGATGCCTCGATGCTCCCGGGCCCTGAATCGGTCCTCCTGGCGGGCTTCTCATCCCGAGTCGTGTTGGACTGTCCCGGGGCCCCGAAGCCAGCCCCCAGAGGCCGAAGACGGCGAAGAACATGTGTCATGGATTGTCCAACACGTGTCTGAAGTCGGTGATCGGCTGATAATTCGGGACTCCAGCGGCCGTTCGGGACGATTGGAACCGCAGAACGCGCTCGGCGAGGCGCAGCCGCAGGAAGGCATCTCGAGGCCAGAGAACCGAAAGAACCCACGAAAACGTCCGAACACAAACGGCATCGCCCGAAAACTTGCTCCACAAGTTGGATGTTTGGGGATCGGCGTCGGCGCGGCAGGCTTTGGCTCCGAGCAGGGATGCCGGGAGGCCACACGCCACGGGCGCAGAAACTCTGCGAGACGGCGGTCGGCGCTGTTAGGAGGCAACAACTGGGAGGTTTCCGTCGGAAAGGTTAGGGAGGATCAAGCCCCATTTGGGAGCTACTACGCCGGAGTGGGCCTCAGATTAAGCGAGGTTAAGCCAGATTAAGCGGGATTAAGCGCGATGAAGCGGGATGAAGCCGGATGAAGCCAGACTTCGGACCAGTGCAAAATCAGAATTTGACCTCCCAGGAGTTGCATCCCAAGCGCTGGGGCGCCATCCCCACACCCCCTCGAGAGCCGCGCCAGTGGGTGGCTCCCGAGGCGCCGCCCATGGGTGCGAGGAGGAGGAGGAGGAGGAGGAGGAGGAGGAAGAGGAGGAGGAGGAGGAGGAGGAGGAGGAGGAGGAGGAGGAGGAGGAGGAGGAGGAGGGGGGGCGAGGCGAGGCGAGGAGAACGCCACTCCCGCTCCGAGCGCGCCCCTGGAGCGCCTCCTCTAAGGAGGTCGGCGGCGGGGCCCGCGGCCCCTCGGAGGGCATCGGCGGCCCCATTTTCCCCGAGGCCCGCGAGGACGTCGCGCTGCGAATCGGCGGGCGCGTGGGTCTCCCCGCGAGGAGCTCTGGAAGTGCCATTGATCTGGGCCGAAACCGAGGGCCGTCTGGGCCCACTCCGTTGTCCTGCGAGGACGCGGGGGGGCGGATCGGGCGCGGCCGAACCGACCCCCTGGCAAAGCATCCCCTGCCGCGGCGTCCTCCTCGCCTTTCGAGCCCCCCTCCGGCCGCACACGCACGTCTTGGGGCGAGGCGAGGGGGACGTCATGGAAGGGGACGGTCTGCTAGGATTGGCGGCATGCACAAGGGGGTCAGGAGGAGGGGGGAAGCTTCTTGGAAGCAGGGGGCGCCTCTAAGAAGCCTTCCCCACTCCCCCTGCCCCACTCTGCGCGTGGCCGATAGGAATCAGTCAGGCCGCCCCTGAGGCGGGAGGACCCAGACCCCAGCGCTTCAAACCCCGCCCCACGAGGATGCGTTTCACGATGGAGGTTTAACCACGCACGACGCACTGCTCGGTGTCTCCGAGCTTGCACGCGCACGCGTGCCCGAAAGTGTTGAGGCTGCTTCTCAGAAGGCACAGGCCTTATCTGCAGATGTACGGCCCGCGCCTCATGCGAAGCAGCCTCCTTCTCATAAGCCTAGTGAGTGAGGCCCGCGCCTTCTAAGAAGCAACCTCCTTCTAAGAAGCCTTCCCCCCTCCCCCTGCCCCCCTCTGCGCGTGGCCGACCCTCCTCGACGCCCCCGAACTTCGGCACCCTGGGATTTGTTGGCGCCAGGCGACGCATCGGCGCCGTCGGCGACGCATCGGCGCCGTCGGCGTGGGCAAAAGTCGGGTGTGCGGCGCGACCCTCAGAATCCATTCATTATTTGAAGAGGAAAAAACTGCATAAGCATAAACTCTTGGACCTGCGCACAAATGTCGTTGATCTGCGCCGAACCCCCGTCCCTGGCGCGCGCTGCCTGATGTGACTTAACGCCGATCCAAGCAACCCGCGCAGAGCTTCAAAAGCTTATGCTTCTGCCGCTCTTCCTTCGTCGAATCTACTCGGGCCCCATCTGGGAGGCCTGGGAGTCCTCGCCCCTTCCTCTTCTATTGCATCTTCAGAAGACCCTGTCTGTCCCGTCGCGCCCCTATCCGCATCGAATCCGCATCGAATCCATGACGGACTCGTCGAATCCGTGTCGGATACATGCCGAATTCGTATAGGATCTGTGTCCAATTCACGCCGACTTGGCATCAAGCCCGCGTCGGGCACAAGTAAAGGAACCAATTTGGGGGACAGACGATGTCCCCCAAAGATGCAACGTCAGTGTGACGGGGCCGAATGTTCATTCACTGTCGCTGGATGCTTGGCTCAAGGGGGGTCCCCCGCGGTGCGGATTGTTGTTGCGTTGCGCTACATTGCCTCAATGTCGTCGTCCCTCCCGCGACCCAGCCCGCGACCTGCCCGCGACCCTCCCGCGACCCACCCACGACCCACCCGCGACCCGCCCGCGACCCGCCCGCGACCCGCCCGCGACCTGCCCGCGACCCTCCCGCGACCCACCCCGCGACCCACCCCGCGACCCGCCCGCGACCCTCCCGCGACCCACCCGCGCCCGCCCCCCCTGTCTTATCCGCAACTGCGGGGTGCTGCATACAGTGGAGGCCAGTCCACAAGAAACCCTCCTCAAGAAACCCAACCCTGAGACCCCAGGACGTCCATTGATCTCTGGTGTGGGAAAATCACGCCTTCCATCGCAGAACCATCGAAGCCCAGGAAACCCAGGGCACCCTGGAGGCAAGCAGGGTGCTTCTTGGCACGGGTTTCCACTGCAACTCCTCGGCGCACCCGACAAAACCCCTGGCGCCCCAGGATCCCTCGCGGGCCCCCCCTCCCCCGGGCCTTTGGCGCTCGCGCCGCCCTGCCGCAGCATGGGCGCCCCCGGCCGCCCCGAGTACGACCCCGCCGACTCCTGGTCGTCCGAGCTGCCGGCGCTCCTGCGCGCGGCGGGGCGACAGGCCGTGGAGGCGACGACGACGACGACGACGACGACGACGACGACGACGGCGACGACGACGACGACGACGACGGCGAGGGCGACGACGACGACGGCGGCGGCGGCGGCGGCGGCGGCGGCAGTCTCCCCCCACCTCTGCCCACCTCCTTCCTCCTCCTCCTCCGAGGAAAGAGGGGGGGGGGGACTGGTTCAGGGGGAGTGGGGAGCATCGGCTGGGAAGCGGCGAGATCCTGCCGATGAACCGGCGAATCCGCACGCTCCGGGGCAGGACCATCGGGCCCTTTATCTGATGGGCTTGTTTTCCACCACCACCACCAGAAGTTGGAGGGGGAGGGGGTCCTCCTCCTGTTCATCCTCCTCCTCCTCCTCCTCCTCCTCCTCCTCTTCGTCCTCCTCCTCCTCGTCCTCCTCCTCCTCGTCCTCCTCCTCCTTCCCCCCTGCAACGTATGGTGATGGTGGTGGTGGAAAACAGGCCAATCTTTATCGGATCCTTGGCGCTCACGAAGTGTACGATTGGGGGTCGCCGCGTCCCTCTGGAGCCTCTACCCCCTACAGCAGGAGCTCGACCACAGGAAGCCTCCACGAGAAGCCCAACCCTGCAACCCCAGGATGCCTGTTGATATCCGGTATGGAGATGCCACGCTTTCCATGGCAAAACAGCTGGCAACGCCAGAAACCCAGGAAACCCTGGAGGCAAGCATGGTGTTTCCTTTGCTTGGGTTTCAACTGTCACTCGGCGGTGAGAGTGGGGGGGAAGTGAAAAGGAGAGGGCCCTCTCAAAGGCGGCGAGGCTCCTCAGAAGCCCTCCAGCCTTCTGAGAAGGTTTCTGCGTTTTCGGGGATGGCTTAGAAACAATGTCAGAACGCTGGGGATCTTTAAGCCTTCTGAAAAGGCCCGCCCCTTCTCGCTTCCCCCACGGGCTCGCCGCCGCGATTGAGGGTCGATGCATTCCCCCTGAGCCTATCCCCCCCAAGACGAAGCTAGGAAGAGGATAACATCGGGTGCGGATAATTCAAAATTCTCTGAGATCCGGCGTCTCTGGAGAAGGTCTCGGGCGCCGCGGCCTTCGCAAAGCGTTCCAAAACGTTATGATAGCGGTCCACAACGCTCTGGAAACGGACTTATCCTCGTCCTAGACCCGCTCCCTCTGAGCCCGTCCCCCCCGAACGTTGACACTAGCGAATCAACTCACGCAGCTGCTTCCTCAGGCGCCTCCAGGCGTCCAGAAGCACCGGTGCATCGAGACGGAGCGCCCGCGGCAACGGGGCCGAGGTACCGGATGCATGCCGCAGATCTCGCATGGGAGGTTCGTGCGGCGTCGGCGCGCGCCAAGACTCCTCGCTCCTCCTCCTCCTCTTCCTCCTCCTTCGCCTCCTCCTCCTCCTAATTGTTACTATTACTGTATGCTATGATTGATGGGACTCTGATTATTGTTAGTCTGCATGTTTCTTCTACGTTGTCTACTTAATATCATGACTAGTAATAGTATTAATAAAACTCGCATTACGATTTGTACTAGTACGATCACTATATGTAGTAGCACGATGCTTCTTAATATGGCTATTCCTAGTTGTGCTTCGGCTCAGTATGATTCTTAGTTGTATTACTATTATGGTGCGTATTCGTGAAACTCTGAATTAGATGTATATCAAGATCTTAATTATTAGTATTACGAAAATGAGTATGTATCCCTGGTATGGCTATTAGTTCTCGCAATAGGAACCCCTTCTATTGGTAGCAGTAGTGTTCGCCTGATACTGGTTATTCTTAGTCGTATACATATGAGTATCATTCTTCGTGTGCTTATTGTGAGTGTTAGTAATATTAGTGAACGTCGTATTGTGTGGATTCATCTTCATGTTCTTAACGTGAGTGGTATTATTATTAATATTATGTTCAAGCCTGAAGATGCGTAATACTTGGTTTCTTCTGCATGTTGGTATGAATGTGTTGTTGTTATCATTACGAGTGTTAATGTCATTAGGTTGATCCATCGTACTCGCAACATGCATGTTAGTATGATTATTCGTGTGCGTACTAGTGTGTAACATCCCTCCTATTAGTATCATCCGTAGTCATGGTATTGATCCTCCTCCTCCTCCTCCCCCTCCTCCTCTCCCTCCTCCTCGACCTCTTCCTCCTCCTCCTCCTCGTCCTCCTACTCCTCCCCCTCCTCCTCCTCCTCCTCCTCCTGCTCCTCCTGATCCTCCGCCTCCACCTCCAAATCCCCCACCTCCGCCGCCTCTTCCGCCTCCTCCGCCTCCTCCCCCTCCCTCCCTCCCCTCCTCCGCTCCCTCCCCGCCCCGCCCCGCCCCGCCCCTCCCCTCCCCTCCACCCTTCCTTCCCTCCCCTTCCCTCCCCTCCCCTCCCCTCCCCTCCCCTCCCTCCCTCCCCTCCCTCCCCTCCTCCTCTCCACCTCCTCCTCGTCCCTCCAGGTTCCTGTATCCTAGTGGCTTCAGATCCAAGCAGGTGCAGCCTCACATTCGCCACCCCATTCCTCCTCTCTCCTCCTCCTCCTTCTCCTCCTTCCTCCTCCTGGTCCCTCCTCCTCCACCTCCTCCTCCTCCTCCTACTCCTGCTCCTCGTCCTCCTCCTCCTCGTCCTCCTCCCTCTCCTCCTCCTCCTCCTCCTCCCCCGCATCCTCCTCTTCCTCCTCTTCCTCTTCATCCTCCTTCTCCTCCTCCTCGTGCGCCTCCTTTCCCTCGTCCTCAACCTCGCCCTCCTCCCCCTGCACTTCCCCATCCATTCCTCCTCCTCGTCCTCCTCCTCCTCCACCTCCTCCTCCTCCTCATCCCCCTTCCCCTCCGCTCCTCCTCCTCCTCCTCTCCTCCTCCTCCTCCTCCTCCTCCTCCTCCTCGTTATCCTCCTCCTCCTCTGTCATCCTCCTCCTCGGTCCTCGTCCTCCTCCTCCTCCTCGGTACTCGTCCTCATCCTCTACTTCCTCTTCATCCTCCTCCTCATCCTCTTCCTCCTCGGTCCTCCTCCTCCTCATCTTCCGCCTCCTCCGCCTCAGTATCCTCCTCATCCTCGTCCTCCTCCTCCTCGGTCCTCCTCCTCCTCCCCAGATTCGTGGTATGTGCCTTAGTGGTCTTCTCATTAGTAGTATTAGAATGCCCATTAATCATCATTGTTAGTATGATTATTGTGATTGGTATCAGTTGTCATATTCTTATTGTTGGTATCGTTATCATTAGTAGTAGTAGTAGTAGTAGTAGTAGTAGAAGAAGTAGTAGTAGTAGTAGTAGTAGTAGTAGTAGTAGTAGTAGTAGTAGTAGTAGTAGTAGTAGTAGTAGTAGTCGTAGTAGTAGTCGTAGTAGTAGTCGTAGTAGTAGTAGTAGTAGTAGTAGTAGTAGTAGTAGGAGTAGTAGGAGTAGTAGTAGTAGTGGTAGGTAGTAGTGGTAGTAGTACTACTACTACTACTACTACTACTACTACGACTACTACTACTACTACTACTACTACTACTACTACTACTATAGTAGTAGTAGTAGTAGTAGTAGTAGTAGTAGTAGTAGTAGTGATAGTACGATTCGTAGTATGGCTAGTATTACTACGACTATGAGTAATAGTAGTAAGTTTTACTATTAGTAGTAGGCGTAATAGTAAACCAGTACCAATGCTCATTCATATTAATACTGCAATGTATATGGCTTGCGTATTAGTAGTATCGTAGTGATCGTCGATTTCTTCTTACTAGTATTCGTATGAGTGTGAACAATCTCCGTATTATTATGAGTATCCGCCTTCGTGTTCTTCTTCGTCGTATTATTCTTCGTATTCTAAAAACTATTATGTTTATTCGTATCGTTATTATTCATATTATGCGTTCACCTTAGTAGTCTTAGTCCTATTATCTTTCGTAGTTTGAGTGTTTCTATTGTTCGTATGCTTAGTATTATTCTTCCTTATGTTAAGATTACCATTATCAATCTTATTATGCGTGCTCTGATTATTATCAGTATGACTACTACTGTTGTTCTTCTTACCTGTATTATGGTTCAATGTATATTTGTTCTTATCATTCGTGCAATGGTTAGTAGTACTATTCTTTGTAGCCGCCGTATCATTATTTCGAGCATTCGTTTTATCATGATTCGTCGTATTAGTCTTCGGATTGATCGCAATATTATTATCATTATTCGAATTATGCTTCGTACTCATTAACAAGTATTAGCATTCTTATTCGTAGTATTCCTCTTCGGAATATTATTATTCCTCCTCCTCCTCCTCGTCCTCCTCCTCTACCTCCTCCTCCTCCTCCGTCTCTTCCTCTTCCTCCTCCTCCTCCTCCCCCTCCTCCGCCCCCCGGGAGCGCCCGACGAGAGGGCCGGGGCGCGCCCGTCGTCGTCCATCCAGCCGTCGGACGTGTCGCCTCGCCGGGCCCCAGGGGCGGAAGACGGCGGCAGCGGCGGCGGAAGAGGATGTCCTCGGCGGCGACGACGACGACGGCGACGACGACGCCGACGGCGACAACGACGGCGACGACGACGGCGACGGCGACGACGACGGCGATGACGACGACGACGACGCCGCGGGAGTGAGAGCGCGGGTTCTGCTCCGCGGGAAGGAGGGGGCCTGGCCGGGTCAGGGGCCCAGACACCCAATCGACTCCTCCCCCTCCCCCTCCCTCCTCCTCCTCCTCCTCCTCCTCCTCCTCCTCCTCGGTCCTCCTCCCCCTCCTCCTCCTCCTCCTCCTCCCCCTCCTCCTCCCCCTCTGCCTCCCCCTCTGCCTCCCCCCCGTGTTCGGCTCTTGCGAATCGACGCCAATCGACGCTAAGTCGACGCTAGCCGACGCGAAACCGACGCCACCTCATCGACTCCAGACGCTGGTCGACGCTAAAGGCGGAATTGAGAGGGTTCACCAAACTCCCACGATTTGCCTCCGAAGCCATGGAGGGACGAGCGAGAAACCCAGACATGGTCGCGTCGGTGCTCGTCGGTGTCGGTCTCGGGGGGCCCCTTCGCCAGGTCGCGGGAGCAACAGAAACCGACTCGAGATGAAACGCCGGTTCTGGGCAAATGGTCGGGACTTCCCACGTCGTTGTCGGACAAGTCACAACGTCGCATGTCTGGGAACCCTGGAGAACTCCGGGCGCCCTCGGAGACGTTTACTGAGCCCTCCCCGAGGGCACAGAGAACGTCCCAGAAGGCGCAAGGGCTTCTGAGAAGCCCCACCGACTTCTGCGGGAACCTCCTCCTTCTCACTTCCCCCCAGGCGCGCCGCCGAATCTGGTTTCTGGGTCAGAACTCGGGTGCACGTTCTAGGTGAGGCGCAGTTGCTGGCGAGCAGCCCGAGGCTGGAAAACCGCCGAGAACCTACGGAAAGGCCCGGAAACCTCGAACCTGGAACCCCGAAAGTTCCCCCCCTCGCTCGCCGCCGACCGAAGAGACGAAAACGCCGAAAGTTCCGCCGAGGACTTTCGAAACAGCCCGAAAACGCCCGCAAACCCACGAAAACCCCCTCCTCGCTAGCCGCCGGCAGCAACTAGGGGCGGCACGGCCGCGCGGCCCCGGCGCGCCTAAGTCGCGCTGCACCTCGTGGGACCGCGTGGTCCTCTTGCCCCTCTTCGATGCGCCTGCGGGCCGCGAGGTGGGAAGAGGAAGAGGACGAGGAGAAGGGGGAGGAAAAGGAGGAGGAGGAGAAAGGAGGAGGAGGAGGAGGAGGAGGAGAAAAAGGAAGAGGAAGTGGAGGAGGAGGAGGAGAAAAAGGAGGAGGAGGAGAAAGGAGGAGGGGGAGGAGACCGAGGAGGAGGAGGAAGAGGAAGACAAGGAACAGGAGGAGGAAGGGGAGGAAAGGGAGGAGGAGGAGGACCGAAAATGAGGAGGAGGACGAAGGAGCGGGGGGAGGGGGAAAAAGAAGAAGAAGAGGAGGGGGAGGAAGAGGAGGAGGAAGAGGAGGGGACGAGTAGGAAGAGGAGTAGGAGGAGGAGGAGGAGGACCGAGGAGGACGAGGAGGAAAAGGAAGAGGAGGAGGAGGTGAATGAGGAGGGAAGAAGAGGAAAAGGAAAGGAAGGAGGAGAGGAGGAGGAGGAGAGGAAGTGGAACAGGAGGAGGAAAAGGAGGAGGAGGGATAATGAGGAGGCGGAGGAAGTGGAGGAGGGGGAGGGAAAAGACGAGGAGAAAGGTGGACAGCAGGAGGAGGAGGAGGAGGAGGACAAAGGAGGAGGAGGAGAGTGGAGGAGGATAGCAGGAGAAAGGAAGAGGAGGGCGAGGAGGTGGGGAAGAGAAGGAGGACGAGAAGGAAGGGAGGAGGCGGAGGAGGCAGTGAAGAGGAAGAGGAGGAGGAGGAGAGGAGAGGAGGAGGAGGAGGAGAGGAGGAGAGGAGGAGGAGGGGAGAAAGAAGAGGAGGGGGAGGCGGCGGAGGAGGGAGACGAGGGGAAGGAGGAAAGGGAGGAGAGGGAGGAAGAGGAGGACAAGGTCGAAGAGGAAGACGAAAAAGGAGGAGAGGAAGAGAGGAGGAGGAGGAAGGGAAGGGGAGGAAGAAGAGGAGGAGGTGGAGGAAGAGGACGAGGAGGAGGAGGAGGAGGAGGAGGAGGAGGAGGAGGAGGTGGAGAAGACGAGGAGGAGGAGAGGAGGAGGAGGAGGAGGAGGAGGAGAGGACCGAGGCGAAAAGGCGGGAGAGGAGGAAAGGAGGAGGAAAAACGAGGAAGAGGAGGAGGAGGAGGTGGAATTAGAGGAGAAGACAAAAGGAGGAGGAAGGAGGAGGGGGAAGAAGGGGAGGAAAAGAGGAAACAAGAGAAGGAAGAAACGGAAGAGGAGGACGAGGAGGAGGAGGGAAACGGGGAGAAGGAGGAGTCCTGAGGAAGAGGAGGAGGAACAGGGGGAGGAGGACCGAGGAGGAGGAGGAAAAGGACGAGGACAGGGGATGAGGAGGAACGCGGGGGGGGGAGGGGAGAAAGAGGATGATGATGAGGAGGAGGAAGAAGAGGAGGAGGAGGAGAAGGAGGAAGAGGAGGATGAGGAGGGCGAAGAATAGGAAGAGGAGGAGACGGAAGAGGACAAGGATGAGGAGGGGGAGAAGGAGAAGGAGGAGGAGGAGGAGGAGGAAGAGAACGAGGAGGGGGAGGGAGAGGGGGGGAGGAAAAGGAGGAGGATGATAGGGGGAGAGGGGAAGCGAAGGAGGACAGATAGGAAAAGACAAGGAGGAGGAGGGGTGGAGGAGGCGGAAGAGGAGGGAGAAAAGGAGGAGGAGGAATTGGAGGAGGGGGAACTTGAGGACAAGCAGGAGGATGTGAAGGAAGAGGAGGAATATGAGGAGACAGAGGAAGAGCAGGATGAAGAGGAGGAGGAAGAGGGTGACGATGTGGAAGAGAACGGAGTAGAGGGGGAGGCGGAGGAAGAGGAGGTGAATAATGGACGAAGAGGGAGAGAAAAAAAAAGGAAAACGAGGAGGAGGAAGAGTGGGAGGTAAAGAAGGAGGAGGAAAGGGGACGAGCAGGAGGGGGAAGAAGAGGAAGAGGAAGAGGAGGCGGAGAAAACGGGGGAGGAGGAGGAGCAGCAGGAAGAGCAAGACGACGAGAAGCAGGGACAGGGGGAGGAGGAGGAGGAGGAGCATGCGGCAGGGGAAAAGGAGGAGGATGAGGAGGAGGAGTAGGAGGCGGAAAAAAAAGGGAGAGGAGAAGAAGGGGGAGGAGGAGGAAGAGGTGTGGGCGGGGGGGAAGGAGGAAGGCTGGAAGAGAAACGGGAAAAAGGCGGAGGCGGAGGAGGAATACGAAGAGGACAAGAGGAGGAGGAGGAAGAGGAGGAGGACGAAGAGGAGCACGAGGAAGGGGAGGAGGAAGAGGATTGCGAAAAAGAGGAGGAGGAGCATGAGAAATAAGAGGAAGAGGGGCACGAGGAGGAGGAGGAGCAAGGAGGAGGACGCGAAGGAGGAGGGGGAAAAGGAAACAAAGGACGGATAGGAAGACGGGGAGGAAGAGGAGGAGGAGGAGGAGGAAAAGGGGGGGGGGGGAATAGGAGGAGGAGTAGGACGAAGAGAAAAAGGGAGGAGGAGAAGGAGGAGGAAGAGGAGGAGGAGCCCGAGGAAAAGGAGAAGGAGGAGGAACAAGGACGGAAATAACAGGAAGAGGACGAGGAGGAAGAAGAGAAGAAGGATGCGAAACATGGAAAAAAGAGAAACAGGAAGAAGAGGAGGAATATTCATAGAGGGAACCAGAGGAGGAAGAGGAGGAGGAAACGGAAGAGGGGGAGGAACAGCAAGAGGAGGCATCGAAGGAAGAAGAAGAAAAACAAGACGAGGGGGACAAGGGAAGAAGAAGAGAAGAGGAAGAGGAGGAGGAAAAGGAGGAGGAGGATGAGAAGGAGGAGCAGGAGGAAGAACAGGGGGAGGAATGCCATGAGTGTCATGATCGCCACAGTCACAGTGGCTCGCGGGACTAGCGAGAGCCAGGAAACAACCGACGCCCCTCGGTGCGTCGGACTCGACTGGCGGCGGCCTCCAAAACTGGGGCCGAGGGGCCCTTGTGGCCAGGAAAGAAACGTCGGCGAATCCCACCAGCCCTCTGGGCGTAGGTGGTCTAGAGCAGATCCTCTTCCACCCCTCCCTCTTCCCCCTTGGGGAGGGGTTTACCCCTCCCCCTACCCCCTCCCCTGGACCTGGACGGGGGGGGCCGCGGGTAGTTAGAGCGTCCAAGATGGCCCAAGACGGCTCCAAGAGCGCCTCAGAGAACCCAAGATGAGCTCCAAGATGGCTCAAGATAGCGCAAGATCGCTCACGATGGCTCCTAAGATGGTTCCAAGAAGCCCAAAGACGGCCCCAAGATAACTCCAAGTGGCCAAACAGCTCCCCAAGGAGGCCCCGAAGAGGCCAAAATCGTCCCAAAACCTAAGGAAAATCAATGATTTTTGCTTTCTCGCCTTTTCGCTTCCGATGGCCATCCGAGGCCTGGAGATGGCTCCAAGATGGCCCAAGAGGGCCCCAAGAGAGCCCCAAAAGAGCCCCAAGACGGCCCCAAGAGCGCCCAAGAGCACTCCAAGAGCGTTCCAAGAGGGGTCCAAGAGGCGATTTTAGGGGCTTCCGAGGGGGGGCGCTAATTAAACCCCCCCTCTTGTTTGATCGACTCCCTCCAAGATGGCCCCAAAAGCGCCCCGAAGGCTCCCCAGAGCGCCTCAAGAGGGTCCCAAGAGGCGCCCAAGATGCCCCAAGGCGCCCAAAAAGCCCTCCAAGAGGCCCTCAAAAGACCCCCAAGAAGCTCCTTCCCCTCCTCCTCCTCCTCCTCCGATTCTTCCTCCTTCTCCGTCCTCCTCCTCCTCCTCCTCCTCCTCCTCTTCCCCCTCCTCCTCCTCCTCCTCCTCCTCCGACGACGACGACGACGACGACTCCTCTTCCATCCTCCCCCTCTCGGGGTCTGTGACAGCTTCCCCCGCCCTTTGTTATTCTGCATGCTCCCCGACTTCCCTGATCACCTCAACTCCCCTGAGCATCGTTTCTGGATGGGCTGGTGGGGATACGCGAAGCGTCAACAATTCGAAGGAGATGTTCGTGCCTTTTCTTAGAGCACTGGGAGCATTCGCTGACAAGCTGCCTCGGGTCGACTGCGGCCGAACGGCCACACCGAGAGCAGAAATACAGCGAATGCTCGGGCCAAAAATGCAGACAGTGACTGGAATGCAAGGTCTCCCCCCCACCGTCACCGCCCGCCTCACCCGAGATATCCCATGGCCGAACTCCTGCTCAGGATCGCCGCCTTCAACGGCGGGGCAGGGTTGGGCGCAAGCCTCCAAAACGCTCGCCGAGGGAATGATGGACGAGCGGAGTGAGCAAATCCACTTCGTGCCCGTTTCAACTAGACAGTGCGAGCTGCCTCCGAGAGCAGCGTGAAGTTTGGTGACGGTGGAACGGCCCTGCTTGGGCCTCTCCGCGGTCCAAGGGGCCACAAGGATGGTTTCCGCCAACGCTTGGGCGGCCCGTTGACGGATGAGAAAACACGTGGCGTCCCAGCGGCCGGTATCGGGAACGCGCTGGCCACGAGTCGCTAAGTCCCAGGACTCCTGCGCGGCCTGGCCAGCCAACTCATCAGCAACATCACTACCCGACGCGAGGATGACCTGGTCCTCCGACAAGGAGGGTTCAGAGGGATCCAAGTGGGAGGGGGTCCACAAAACAGAAATCCCGCCCTCGCGGCCCATTCGGGCCAAGCGGATACGAAACCACAAATCCGAATTCACACCGCTGCTGTGGATGAAACGGCGCCGCCGCCACCACTCTAAAAGGGGCTGGTTGTCGGTGACATACTCAAAATCCCCTGGAACTCTGAGGAGCGCCAACTCAAAGGCCAACAACCCAGCTCTGGGGACAGTCTGACGGCGGCCAGTGATGTTGGAAGCCCAACCCTTAAGGCGGGACCACTTGGCGCCATCCCAAGCCACCAGGACGGCAGCAGCGCTGACGCGTCGGCGGCGTGGGTCGGAGCTGAAAGCTCCTCCGGAACCGTCTCCCCCCCACGGGCCGAGCGCACCCATCATGGTGGGGTGTCTCTTGCCCGGGGACGCGCCTGCCTTGAGGACTGCAGGCCAGCTCGTGCATCACCGCCGGCCAGCCTGACTGGGTCGGTGGAAAAGGAGGAGGAGGACGACG